GTGTATTGTTGGGCATTACTTGAAAGGCCAGGCCATTTTAATTAAGATGGTCTCTACCTAATTAAAATATATAAATTAAATTATTATTTGATTTATTGCTGGATATATCGCATTGATTGCGATATTATTTTCCGGTTAAGGATATTCCTTGATATTTGAAATATGTCAAGGGAATTTTTTTTTTAAAAATATAGAAGATCGTATCTTTCTAATATATTGGCAATCTCAACCAAAAAAATATGGATGCCTCCCTCCGTTCTTTCTCAGTCCAACCATTGAGTTTTCTGGTTTTGTCCCCTTCTCTATGTTCCTTGTAGGTGCATCTACGCATATGAAGGTTGACCTGATTCAACCTAGTACGTTTTTGCCCTCCTGCTCTTATACAATTTTTGACATATATGAATGATTCTCGGACAAATAACAAATTAGAGACCTCCCATTTTTCAAACAGAAACAAACCTACATTAACATATACGTAGGGAGTGTTTGGAACACTCAAAAATGCTTTTTAAAAGTATTTTTTTGCAAAACGAACAAACTCGTCCACATATTTACCTTGTAATCGTAAAGTATTTTAAAACATGATTTGGTTTCCATTCAAATACACCCCCTTAATATATGTTTTCCCCTCTAACTTTGGTTTAATTAGTGGCTTTTTATTTTGGAAAACATTATTAATTAATTGATGTATCGGAATTTTGATTACATATTTAAATTCATAATTTAAATGAAATTAAATAATAAGAAATCTTCTAATAATTGTTAAAAATTTTAAATAAATACTATGAAATCATAACAGAGTCATTTGGGTATTAAATAAATTTCAATTTCAATTATTTGATATTAATTACAACTATTTAAAATTTGTACATGATGAAATCGGATTTTGATCTTGTTTAAATATAATAGTTTTGACCTTAAATGATAAATTTGTGATATCTAACGAGCATTATTCAATTTGTTTTGATTATCTTCGGCATCATAAAAACTATCTTATGTTTTTTTAACATTTCTATGCCTTCTATTTTCTAGTGTATATCTAGGCTTTTTACGTTGTGACCTGACCTTTTTCTTCATAGATTCTTTTTGGTAAAAATATACTTTTTAGGGCCCCTTTTGATATAGGGTTAAAAATAAAAAACATTTATAAGCATAATAAGTCGAAACAAAACTCTTCTCATATACTTAAATTATATTTCATATATCATGATAGGAAATTTATTTATAAGTTATTCTAAATAGGCCCTTAGTTCTTTAACTTTATATAAGAGCTTAATTTGATTCTTTAACTTTAAAAAGTACATTTTTAATATTTTAACTCTAAATTATTAATAAAAAAATAATGATATTAAAATCTTAAATGTTAATAAAATATTATCAAATGCTGACATATTAAGTTTAATTTTTAAAAAATAATAATTATTATAAAAAATTATCATTTAAGACTAATAGTTTTAGCCTTTTAGGGTTAAAACATTAAAAATATACTTTTTAAAATTAAAAAATATACTCCTCGGGCTCTTAATATAAGACCTATTTAACTAATTTGATTAGATTAAGAAAGTTAGGTATGTTAGTTAATTATAAGAAATATAACATGTTTTTCCTAAAACACCATAATCATCTTTCTTAATATCCTCCCTCCTTTTTCTACTTGATTATGGTTAAGAGAATATCCATAAGGATAATTTAGAAAAAATTGATAAATAATAAAAATATGTCTTATATTTAGGACCAAAAGAACTAGAGGAGTATATTGTTGGAATTTGTCAGATCTACTCTTGATGGACTGGGATTTTTAATTAAGATCTCAATCTAATAAAAATATATAAATTAAATTGATTTTAATTTATCGCTGGATATCACATTTATTGTGAGATTGTTCATTTCGAATGAAGAAAAGAATATCTTGGGGCATCCAAGGAAAAGTTTCCTAAAATTAAAATATGAAAAATATAGTCACTCTAACCCTCCCATAAGTAGGGCTTCCTCCTCAGTTACTTCCTACCCCAACCATTATAATTTTTTTTTGGCTCTCTTGTGTTTTCTCTCCTGCTTTCTTTGTGAGTTCCAAGTTGATATTTGTATTTGAACACGGATCCAACCCGGTATGTTTTTTCTCCTCCTCCACTTTTTTCTTTTTTTTTGGTTTTCTCACATATGTATTCTAAATGATTGTTGGACGAATTATTCAATTGACTAACTTATTTAACTTTCAGTCTCATAATATAAGAGTTAATAGATAGGTTTGTTTTGTCTATAAACATAAAATATCAACCCACGTTATCTTCTAAATTTATATCTTTTTTTATTAAACTCTCCCTATTAATTACATATATTTAAAAAAGTTTTTTCATTAAGGGAGTAATGTTCAATAGTCCAATACCAATGACGTAAAGGATATACTTTAGAAAATCAATGCAAATTTTTTTTATATTTAAATAATTTAACTAAGTTTTTAATTTTTACAAATTATTTATCTGGATTTTACATTTAAAACTAGAGGGAGAACTATCTCAAATTCTCAATTACCAAGTTTATGATAATTTTCCCTGATAATTAGCAGATTTTATTAACATCTTTTTATTTGATATCCAGTTCACCAAGGTATTTTTCTATTATTCTGGACTGAGTTGTTGATGATGAATATTAAGTAGCAGGTAATTGCTTGTTTCTTATGATATAGCATATGTTTTCAAATCACTTGCATTTTGTTCTTATGGTCAGAAGAAACTCGGACAACTCAAGGATAAATGGCAACATCAACAACAAATGTCACCTTGGATGAACTTTACCAACTATATGTGAATGAAAAAGTAGAATCATGGACACCAACAGATCTACAAATTGATCCTGACAGAGAAGAAGCATTGATGTGCAAAATGAAAAAGTTTATAAATGACCTCGAGACATCTCAATTTTACCATTATTTTCGTGACGAGATACAAAGTCCACCTATTTCTGAACAGATACAAAAGGTTTTGGGATTAGAGTCAAAGATGAAAATGGTAATTTATTGTATTGGTGATATTGAATCAGATGAGTATGTTTATTCTAAATTGCAGCTTAGTCTTGCAATATTAATGAAAAGAGATTTCAATTGGATTGGAGACATAGAAGTATTTGATCCTCTTCTTTCAACAACTGAAATCCGAGTTTTGAAATCTCTTGGATGTTCTATTTTATCCTCTAACCAACACGGAACGAGGCAAGTCCTAAATCCAACTATTTTCTTCATGCCAATAACCTCTTACTGGCAAATTGGAAACCAAACCTATTGAGTAATATTATCATATTTGGTAATAGCTTTGATTCCTATATTGAGCATCCTCCATATCGTTCAAGAAGCGATCCAAAATTACTTACTTGGCTTGAGATGGGGCATATTTTGGCTGCTCAAACATTTACAAATGAGATCAAAATGAGAACAATGTCTTATGATAGGATTAGTGAAGTCACAAGAGATTTCCGGCAACACTGTGAGGATTCCTTTGGCAATTTAAGTTGGCATTTTTTTAACCCTCTCACAGAAACATGGATGCGATTGATGAGATGGAAAATTAGAGAGGACTACGCATCTATTAGACTGAAGGTACAATTGGGAGAAGGAGGAAGACTTGTATTACCTGAGAAGAAAGAGGATTTAGTTACTGGCAAGCCATGTCCGAAGAAGCAATGTCGTGATGCTCTCTTAAATCTCAACCAGAACTTCCAAGAATGTTTGAATACTTATCAGGAACTCAACCAGAAAGCAAGAGTCTCATCGGCCCGTATGTCTTCTCATTATAATTATATTCCGATGGCCATCGTTTTAATTTCTTCTGGTGTCTATATTTTTACCAGATTTAAACATCCTAATCCCTTCCGGTGGTGGCCCCGTTGTCGTAGGTGAGGGAACTCCGGCCACTATCATCAGTGCCACTGACCATGGTGGAGGGCTTTTGTTTTAATAACCGAGGAGCATTTTGTTTTTGTTTTTGTTTTTGCCATCGAGGAGCATTTTGTTAATTGAACAACAAAAATTAATTAGAATTCAGTTTCTTATTCCTTTCATAATATTTCAGAATTTAGCGTCTTTTTAAGAAATTTTATCTCCAGTATGATTAAGGAGGATGCCAAAAAACCTGACAATAATATATTGCAAAGACAAGTGGTGCTGTCATTGTTCATTGATTATACGATTGATTTATGTTATTATTACGTTAATCTACATTTATAATAACGTTAATACTCCATTAAGAGAAATTTCTCTTTTTTTGGTAAAAACCATCAATAGAAATTCAATACGAGTTTAAAAAATTTTAAAGAGAAAATTGGAGATAAATCTCCATTTGACAAATTAGTGAGGAAATAGGACCAAGGCTTGAGGTCCTTGAGTAACACAGTTTAAGAGGAGAATGGACCAAATTTCTAATGTAATTTGCATATCAAGAAAAGTCACTTGCATATTGAAAATTTGCACATTACCTTTCCAAATATGTAACTCATCTTCCTTATCCTGATATGCAAGTAACATTCCCCAATATGCAAGTAACTTTTTATACAAATGGCCTTCCCAAATATGCAACTTGCCTTTTCTAATGTGCAAATTTCAATATGCAGGTGATCATCTCACATATACAAGTGATCTGTTTCATATGCAACTCACCTTCCCAGTATGTAAATAATCTTCCCAAATATGCAATGAATTTTTCTTAATATGCAACTCACATTTCCCATTGTGAAAATTCTTAATATACAAATGGCTTTTCCTGATATGCGAGTGAACTTCCCAAATATGCAAATATTCTTCTCAAACATGCAACTCACCTTTAGCAATGGTAATTTTGTCCTTTCCTCCCTCAATCTTACTACCATGCAAAGCTTAACGCATTTGAAGTCTCATTCCTCAATTAATTTATCAAATGAGAATTTGTCCCCAGTTTTCCGAATTTTTAAATTTAAAAGTAAATTAAATATTAAATATTATTTTTCATATAATAAATTTGATAACAAAATAGTTTACAAATTTGTAATTTTTTTTTTAAAATCATGTTCATATACATCGTTAGGAAGACGTCACAGAACGCTATCAACGAAAACTGATTCAATACAATATTATTTGCCAAAAAAAAAAACAGTTACTTCGCACATATAAACTTATCTCAAGGAAACTTGGAACCATGACCAGCTGTCGCATGACTCTTTGGTGTTCTCCCTATTTCTTAGTGTCTGATTCTATGATATGAAGCCATACATGAACAGAACATATCACAATCTAACATGTAACATCTAAATTGCCAATCTTAACGTGAAGGCTCGAATAAAAGCTGGCTCAGGCAGTAGCTGTAGAACTCGAGTTATGACTGCTAGATTTGTTTTTGCGACCCCAAATGGGAGTGGTCTCAATGAGTTGATGAGGCACAAGCCGTCTTTCCCTCTTTGTGAGCTTCCGGAAGTTGTGAACTCTTAGCCTAGCTATCTCTGCTTCCTCTTCAGCAGTTATTTCTCTCACCAAAACTGTTAGTCTGCACTCTGGTCTCATTTTGACACCACATCTTCCTTTGGAATGATAAGAAATTCTCTTTTTGTAGAATCCCTTTCCAACAAATGCTTCAGCTGCAAGAAAGGTAGTATAGGCCACGGCGTGAGCAGGATGAAAACAGAGTGACGAGGCAATTCCATTTCAAATCATTACCAACAATGAGACGATCTGGATCCAGCCCATGATTATGCGCTGCATTTGCTCGAGCTGAATGAATAACCTGCAATGCCTACCATTTTAGTGCACGGACATGTACATTTTTCCTTTCGTCTAAAAGATAGAAATAGAATTTTGATAGGAATTGAACAGGCCTCAGATAAAAATTTCAGACGCTGCTGTGTACAAAATATAGGTAAGAATAAACCAGAACAGAACAACGAAAGGGAAGGCCTATTAGAAATGGGTTGTATCCAAAAATGACTCAACACATATAGATGCAATTTCTTCATCATTAGTCATAGAGAAGTCCAAACACGTTGGAACCTAGAAAGTTACTTTAAAATAGATATTCCCAAGGTCAACCATTGAAAAATAAGGGGGGAAAAAAACAATAGAGACAAATGGAGAAGGATGAAAAAAAAAAAACTCTCTTTCGCATCCAAGGACTTGAGAACCATTTGAATTTTTGTCTGCAGAGGTGATACAAAAAATCCAAATGCTACCCACCTGATATACAGTTTTGGAAGCCCTCTTCACCGTCAACTGCAATTGCATCAATGCATCTTCAACACGCATACCACGCACTAGGGCAGCGACCAAGTTGACCTTCTTTGGACTCTGAAAGCAAGGTAGTAGTCACAGTCATTGTTGAGGCATGCAAGGAAAAGGAAATGACTTTTCACGGTAGTATGATCACATTTAGAAACGCATTTCAGATACTTGAAATTTAATTGAACTAAAGGTTATGAAATGCTCCCCAACCAGGTCAATATGAGGAAGACGACATTATTCAATTCTTCAAATTATTGTGATCCTCAATTATGAGCTGACCGAAATATTTATCTTGGTAGAGGAAAAGAAATATGGCTTCTTTGCAAAAACTCATTCAATTCAAACAATGTCCCATTTCAGAACTATTTGCCTCACAACCAGTATGGAGTTCCACTTGATACGATTTTGCAGTTGTTAGATATATTGTCATCTTGAATGAAGATGTCAATGCTTGGTACACTAATATCCAAAGAGATTCATGTCAACAGAGACCGAATGGAAGATAATAGCAAACGAAATACCTTGTTAGTGAAAATGATTATATCCATTAATTTACTAGAATGTGATTACAATTAGCACTATAAATAAGGAAAATTGAAAGACTTTACAAAATGCATAATTTCCGTAACATTAAATACTAAGTACTTTATAATAAACTCCAAATAGTCAAATAGTAAACAGTACAAGAAATAAGTAATCTACACCTGCTTTATGCCCTTTAACACAGCTTGAACTTTTGATCGCTTAACAACTGCTTTCTTCTTTTCGTCTTCAGTTTTACCACTACTCAATGACAAAACTGGGGTTAATGGAGATGAAACAGGGGTTTCCCCAGAGGAATTTGCTAGCACCTTGGTTGAACTTGCGATTCCCTGTTAAGAATTCAAGTACATAGATGTAAGATTACAACCACTTCCATACATAACCTCAGCATATGGCTTTTCATGAGTTGGAAAATAAATCGGAACATACTTTCCTAGGAAAATCTTGCTGTATGCAGAATAAACTATATGAAAACTGATCTTTTTTTTTTTAGGTGACAAAAAATAATCTTTTGACGTGGTTTCAGTTGGTTACTACAGCAAGGCTAACCAACCGAAGTGATTGAGAAGATCCCAAAAGGCTGTCAATCAAACAAATAAAAAATCATAAGCAGGTACCACCGATATGGTTTATTTCAACCCCGGCAATTACATTAGAACGGGAGAGGGGGGTTCCTTCCCCAACATGAATTATCCACTCCTCTTTCTTAAGAATGGGAGGATATAACAAGGAAGGAGGCAACCGAATGGAGCAGCGCCCCAAAAAAAAATTTGTTTCCGTTCAAATTTAGCCCCAGACCACCCCCACCCCAAAAAAAGGAGAGAGAAAAAAAAAAATCAAAGTTATGCAAAGTTCACAACAATATGGCTCTTCCTTATAACACATGCATCACTATAAATGCGCCTAACTTCGAATCAGATGGGCATTTACTTTTACGTTCTTTTTTTCTTCTTTGGCAGAAGAGCTGTTCGGAGTCTATGGTATTGGTAAACAACGGATGCTCTGAAATATTAACTTACCTGATATTGGAAATTATACCAAAACGGCCTTGAGATGCCGCCCAAGGGCATTCTCCATGCGGTCTGTACCTGACCTGCGTAAAAAGAATTTTACTATAATCAAACCTCACAAATTTCAGTTATTACAAATCTGAAAACTTGCAAAATTATGGGAACAACAGAGTAAGTTGCAAACTGATACAATAAAAGAGAAAGCAGACAAAATGTAACTGATAGCAGAAACCAACCATGTGAAAGTGACGACCCAGTGCGAGAAATTACAGTGTTTGCAACAACATCATTGGCAGGATTCACTCTCTTCCCAATATGGCGAAGTATTGGCAGTATATGCCTCTGCCACTGCACCATGACCTGAGGCCAGAAGTGAATTCTTCGCCGGAGTAATGACTGTTAATCACATTCACATTGAAGGATAATTAAAGAAGCACGATATAACAAGACTGGTGAATAGATATTTCAAAGGGGAAAAAGATGTAATGTAGAAAAATTGCTGCTAAAGCTCGACAATGGAGGGAGTGACATCAGTGGGTCTAACATACCAAATGATTTTGGGGAAAAAAAAAATTCCAACTTGACAGCGGAAGATGCTGGAGAAAAGGAATCAGGTTTGATGCGATTTTATTATAAGAAGTGTAAAATTTGAATGAACTGTAAAATGGAAGCTTACTAGTAACGGAGGTGGCTCTCTACCCAGATCGGCGTCGCCGTCGGCTGAGGAAGGAGTCGACAGGACTCAAAACGGAGCTTCATAATTCCGGGTAGACATTATTATTAGTAGGTCCAACATGTCCAGTTCAAGGCCATACTAGACCCACCGTGATTGATTCAAGGTATCAGGTTCACATGGGCCTGGCCCAGTTTAGGTAGCATTAGATTTTTCATAAATGTTTTACTGGTAAGAGAAAAAGGTTACCAGTTTATAGCAGAGTCTGGTTTGGAACGGTTTAGCAAGCCAAAATTTTTGGTACTTTTTTTTATCACTGTTCTAATATATAGTTTGATGAATTCAACTTATTCACAGTTTTAAAATATAACTTTTAGTTCTTCATTTTTTGTTAAAAAAGCTGTTGATTCAAATTTCAAACTTAACTAACGATTCAATTTTGTGGTTTGAACTTAGAAATGCTGTGACCTAGATGGTAGAATTCGCACAACATCTCATCAAAAGAATTCTCATTTAATCCAAATTAGTGTAGGCTTCAACAGGCCCACCCAAAATGTCGGGTGCTTGCATAAAATTTTAAAAAAGAAAGAAAGAGTAATTTTAAAAGTTTTAATATTTTACATTTAAATAATTTTTTAAGATACTGTTAAGTATCAAACATGATTACTTCTTCTAACAAGAATTCAAATCTTGGTTGGTTTATTACATTACAAGAGATTAATATTTGCCAATAGACCGAACTCCATAGGTCTGATTTGATATAAAACATTGAGAATGAGAGAAAAACAAAAGTATTTAGTGTAATGAACTTCTTATTATTTGAAATTAGACAAACCCATATAGATGGAATTAGAGAGTACTACCTCATACAACTTAACCTAAAGTTGTTATTATCTAAATTGTTTTATATTAAGAGGAAATATAGCTTCTTGATATTCATAAAAAAAAATAAATGATTTATTTTAAAATTTTCTGTATTTCCTACAAATTAGAATAAACATAAGGCAGCTGTATCTTCTCCAAATATTAAAATTTATAACATAATGGGTTTACGTCAAAATGAATTTATATAAGATTTAAAAACTACTCCAATTTTAAATGTAAGAGCTAATAAAAGAATCTGTTTTAATTTTAAATACAAGATTTCAAATTAGATTGTTTCTTAAATTTAAATTTTTTTCCCTAAATCCTTACTATTGATTGCATATATTAAGAAAAAATTTTATTAGAAAAATAATATCTAAAGTAGATGATCAAAAAAGGCACTTTTAGAGTACCAACACACATTTTTATAAATAACAACTTATAATAACCGAACTAATTTTTTTATTTTTCACAAACTGGTTACCTAGCCTTGTTAAGAAGGGAAAATCTCCCCCAAAAAAAATCACTTGAATTTCAAAATTCCATATTAGTTTTATTTCTTATACTTTAATAGTATTTTTTTTGGACCAATATACTTTAATAGCAATTGACTGTATTTAAAAAGTAAATGATAACACATTTTCATAAGAATTGTTGATTTGATGCTTTGAAATTCAAGTAATATTTGTTTTTTTTTTTTTGGATTTTCCTTTTGAAGAATCAGAGGCAGCATTAAATAACTCAATCATCAAGTTTTTAGAATTTAAAACATATTAATGGGTGTCAGATAGTATTATAGCTAATGATTAATAATACTAAATCCATTAAATCCACTAAACGTGCATGCATATTAACCAGAGAGTTGAAAAAAAATCTGGAGTAATCACTGATATCACAAGTTGGAATTGATTGTTTTTATTTTTGTGAGGCTTATAAATCTTGGGAGTTATATATAATCAAGTCATTGTCATATTATGATATTTCTTTGAACAAATCTTACAGATAGCTCCTGGGACAGTCTTAATTTTTTTTTTAACATAAGAAAATTTAGGTGAGTTGGGATAGTTTCAAATTTGCGAAAACATGAGTTGTCACCTAATGATTAAAATATTCTACATGTAGATCCAGTGTTTATTTAATTTATTAGCTTCTGAAATTATTTTGTTATTACATACAGGGCAGTTCATATCATATATAGTTTATACATATACGCTACTTCAATGCAAGAGTTTGTTGTGAGATTTGTTATTTTTTCGGTACGTGTTGTGAGATTTGTTTTAATCCTAGATTTAAAATTTCAATTTCCTTTATCTCACATATTTATAAATCTTTTATCAAATAATCTTATTAATTATACAAATAGAAGAGAGTTTTTCATCGATAAGAGTAACTCTCAATGCAAATGATTAAAGAAATATTTTAGGAAAATTATACCTATTTATTACAAATAAGGTTAGAGTATACGTTTAATCTTTTAATTTTATATAAGGTTTCATCTTAGTCCCTTAACTTTAAAAAGTAAACTTTTAATTCTTTAACTCTAAAATTGTTAACAAAAAATGATGATATTGAGCTTTTGAATGTTGATAAAACATTACTAAAAACTAATATATTAAGTTTAATATTCAAAATAACCATGACTGTTACAAAAAATCATCATCTAAGACTAACAATTTTTGGGTTAAAGGACTAAAAGTATGCTTTTTAAAATTAAGAGACCAAATTAAAATCTTATATAAAGTTAAATGACCAAATATATACTTTAGCCTTACAAATAATTAACTTAACTATTTTTAATATATTTTAATTAGTTATTCAACTTCTACACTTAAGGTAAGAGAGAGCAGTATATTTCTCTAATTCTATGTATAAGTCATGTTTCATTAAAACCAAGAAAAATTTTAAATTTCATTGACCCTATCTTAAAATTTAATAACTTTATAAACTTTACCCTTTTTTTTACCAACAAATAAACTTTACCATATTTAACATACACTGTAACTCATGATAACAATGTATTCATAATAATAAATGAAAGATATAATTAATATTTATATAAAAAAATTTAATAGCCTCACTTATTAATATGATAAAAATTAAAAATTCTATCTGCCTCTATAAGTATGATTAAAGCGTATAATATTAGCCTGTTTGGATTTATTTTTATAAGTACTTATAAATATTTTTTATATAAATTGAGACAAAAATTCTCCTTATATATTTTTATCATGTTTTATAAATCATGATTAATAAATTATTTATAAAACATTCTAAACAAGTTTATATGTCTACTTAAAACATGTGATGAACTTTGAAGCAAGAGTTCCGTACGTTTATGGGTCCAGCGTGAAGTGAAAAGGACACTATCTAATTATTCTTTGTTCTTTTTTAATGATACTATCATTGCTACTTGTTTTTAACTAAAATTAAATATGACCTCATGTAGGAATGGGTTGTTATAGCAGTGCTATAAAGTTTGCTAGCTGCCTAAGCGATTGATTAAGCTCGATTAATAACTGTGTGTTGCAAAGGGGGACGCGTTGTCTTCTTTGCATGGCTTCCTTTTTCATTTTAAAGAATTTCACAAGTTAATTTTAAAGAATTTGGAATAAAGCCTGATAAGATAAGATTAACAGGTACTTCCTCCTGCTTTCTTATAAGTAACATAGGACTTCATTACATAAATCAAAATATTAGTTAAAAATTAAAAGTTCTTTTTTCAAAATACCTTTATTTATAGGGGGAGAGAATATGAGAAAGAAAATAAGAAAATTATTACAATAAAGAGAATTATAAAAAAATGTGTGATTAAGATAGATGACAGTTTAAAAAATAAAATAATAAATATATTAAATGTTAAAATAAGTAATTAATGGGATAAAATAAAAAAATTTGTTATAAAAATTTAAAACAACTTATAAATGTTATTTATATTTAGAGATAAGAAGAAGATAGTAGTTCTTGTTTATAAAAAAAACAAACGGGCGCAGTAATGAAAGACAGCTTAAATAGCAACACGACTAATTGATCTCCAGCTAATTAAACACAGCTGGGAACAAACTTTTATCTGCTATAGTTGTAATCACATGAAATAAAATGTTTATTTAACCATCAAATTCTCAAGCCTGCGTGATGAAAACGCCGTCCATTAAAAAGTAATACTTGAAAGTTGAAACTTTTTGGTACTGCATGAGTAATTAATTAAATATTTGTGGAAGATTCCATGCTTGATTAGTTCATTTGATGAGCCGAAGATACTAGAATTTCGTTTTGGTATCTTCTTAACATAACCAGCTTAATTTAGAGAGGGATGTGGTCTATTTTACAAACTTTAATTTCAGTTTATCTTGATATTTAATGGTGTTTTTTTAATTTTGTTCTTGATCATTTATTCTCTTTTCTTTGTAATATTCTTTCTTATCACATTTTTCTATATATTTTTTTTTATTTTTTTCATTTATTACAAGGGCATACTATTTAGAAGTAAAAGTATTTTTAACCTATTATTAACTTTAACTAATTTTAACTAATTTTTCATCATTCATAAATTAGTTATTTGAAACTTGTAATAAAGACTAAAAGAAGTATAATTATATTTACAATTAAAACAAGTTTATATGTTCAACCTCTTATTTTTATGATGTACTCTTCCATCTCTTCATATAAGACCTGTATAGATTAGATTAGGAAAATTCAGTAAGTTAGTTAGTTAGTTATAAGAAATATGATATATTTTTTCTAAAATACTATGATCATATTTTTTTATATCTTTCCTCTCATTTCTACTTGATTATGGTTAAGAGAATATTAACAAGAGTAATTTAAAAAAAATTAATAAATATGAAAAATATATTTTATATTTAAGATTAAAATTACCTCAATAATTAGATCATATATAAAAGAACTCAAGGAGTATTAGGAAAGTAAATGAATGATTAGGAATACCAAATTTTAGGTGCAGTTTGTAATTGTAATCCAAACCAGGGGTTAAGGTGAAGGGACTCTTCGCTTTATGATATAAATTTTTTCCCGCTTTTTGAATTTATTCCTTTTTAATTTAATCCTGTCTCTTAATTAAGTATTCAGCGACTATAAGCAAATTTTAACGGTGAAAAATAGAAATTATTAATGTTACCTTGCCTTGTTAAGAAAAGGAAAATCTGGGAAAAAAAAAAACACCACTTGTATTTCAAAATCCCATATTAGTTTTATTTTCTGTACTTTTAATAGCAGTTGATTATTGAAGAACAAATGATAACTTATTTTTGTAGAAATTCTTGATTTGGGATTTTGAAATTCAAGTAATTTTTTTTTTTGGATTTTCCCTCTTAAGGATCATCAGAGGCATTATTAAATAATTGAATTATCAAATTCTTAGAATTCAAAACCTAATAATGTGTGTTACATAGCATTATAGCTACTGGGTAATAATGCTAAATCCACTAAACGCGCATGCATTTTATCCACAGGGTTGAAAAAAATCTGAGGTAAACAATGATATCACAGGTTGGAATTTGATTATTTTTGTCATTGTCATATTATGATTTTTCTTTGAACAATTCTTACAGATAGCTCCTGGGGTAGGCTCTAATTTGTGGAAACAGGGGCTGTAACCCACTGACTAAAACATTCTACACGTAGATCCAGCGATTATTTAATTTATTAGCTTCTGAAATTCTTTTATTATTACATACAAGGCAATTCATTTCATAGTTTATACATATACACTACTTCAATTCTAAATGCAAGAGTTTGTTGTGAAATTTGTTTTAACCTAGATCTAAAATTTCAATTTTCTTTATCTCACATGTTTATAAATCTTTTCTCAGATAATCTTATTAATTATACAAATCAAAGAGAATTGTTCATCAATGAGAATAATTTTTAATGCAAATAATTAAAAAAATATATTCAGAAAAATTGTACTCATTTATTATAAATAATTAACTTAACTATTTTTTTAATATCTTTTAATTAGTTATCCAACTTCTACACTTAAGATAAGAAAGAGCATTATATTCTTCTAATTTTATATATAAATCATTTTCAACATGTTTCATGGGAATTAAAAACTTTAAATTTCATTAATCATATCCAAAAATTTAATAACTTCATAACCTTGACTTTATCTAATAGACACTATACCTCATGATAACAAAGTATAGATAACAAATGAAAGATATAATTAATATTTATATAAAAAAATTTAACAGCCTCACTTATAAATATGATTAAAAAAAAAATCTTTCCTCTACCTTTATAAATATGATTGGAGTATATAATATTAGCTCATTCGGAGTTATTTTAATAAGTACTTATAAGTACGTTTTATGTAAGTTAGGATAAAATTCTTTTTATATAATTTTGCTGTATTTTATAAATTATAATTGATTTGTTTATAAGACACTTTAAATAAGTCTGTGTGTCTACGTTGAAATAAAACATGCGATGGACTTTGAAGCAAGAATTCCGTAGGTTTATAGGTCTAGCGTGAAGTGAAAAAATTTAGGGAGAACTGCAATCAAGTCGTACAGAAAAAAAATAATTACTAAAAAGTCTCAATAATAATCTGAGTAGATGACAAGTCCTACAGCGGAGAATGACAATCTCTAGAACTTGTTTTGTGATTTTTTTTCTTTCATGGGATTTGATTGTAATTCTCTCAAAAATTTATAATAACATCATCATTAATTTGTTTTTTTGCCAAACATTAAAGATAGCCTCACGTAGAAATGAGTTTTTATAGTGATGTTATAAAGTTTACTACCTACCTAAGCGATTGATTAAGCTAGATTAATAAATTTGTGCTGTAAAGGGGGACGCTTGTCTTTTTCGCGTGGCTTCCTTTTTCATTTTCAAGAATTTCACAAATTAATTTTAAAGAATTTAGAATAAAGGCTGATGATAAGATAAGATTAAAAAGTAATTAAACACAGCTTCAATGGCAACAGGACAAATTGATCCCCAGCGAATTAAGGAGCAAACTTTTATCTGTTATAATAGTAATCAAATGAAATAAAATATTTATTCAACCATCAAAATCACAAGCCTACGTGATAAAAACGCCATCCATTAAAATATATACTTAAAAGTTGAAACTTTTTATTATTGTATGATTAATATATTAATTAAATATTTATGGAAGATTCCACGCTGGGTTAGCTCATTTGATGCGCCGAAGGGAGTAGACTAGAATTTCGTTTTGCATCTTCTTAACTACTCCCTTCTCCTGTTTGTAAGTTTTAAATTTAAAGAGGAGGTGATCTATTTATAAACTTTAATTTTGGTTTGTTTTAATATTTAATTATATTTTTTTTCAATTTTATCATTAATTATTTATTCTCTTTTATTTTCTAATTGCTATACATTTTTTTAATCATCTTTCTTATTTATTACAAGGACATGCTATTTAAAAACAAAAGCATTTTTTTTAACATATTTAACTAATTTTAACTAGTTATTCGTTATTCATAAATTAATTATTTGAAATTTATAATAAAAGCTAAAAGAAATGTAATTATATTTATAATGAAAACAATTTTATATGTTCAACCTCTTATTTTTATGATGTATTTAGGAAAGTAAATGACTACGAATACTAAGTTCTAGGTGTAGTTTTGCAATCCAAATTAGGGGTTGAAATTTTTTTCCGCTTTTTAAATTTATTCCTTTTTAATTTCATTCTGTCTCTTAATTAAGGATTCAGTGAGTATAAGTAAATTTTAATGGTGAAAAATAGAAATTATTAGTGTTAGATAATTTCATCTGTATTCTTTGTGTGTGTGACTATTCAGTTTACTAGTGGTTGAGGACAAGAGGATGATTCTGATTTAAAGTTGGTTGCAACCACAAGTCAGTAAAGTTATGATTCATTCCAAAGGCATTTTCAGTTTTTGATGTGTCGGCACAAACATGGCATATTTGCTTTAATTAGAAGCATGAAACAAAGGCACCTATCACTATCTCTTTTGAACCCTCCAGAAATATCCTCATTAAAATTTAATATTAATTCTTTACTTTTCCTATTTAAATTTTAAGATTTTTTTTAATCTTTTAAGTCCGTTGTTACTTTGAAAAATTACAGTTAAGAATTAAGAATTCTGTCTTGAAAATCATGATCTACTGTCTCATTCAAATAGGAGACTTGGTAACAGATTCTCATCATAAAATATTCTAAACCATATCTTCCTGTAAAAAAATAAATAAATAAATTAGGATATGTTGAATTGGAGTAAAATTTGCTTTCCAGATGTTAAAAATCTTATACCCATGTTGAAAAGAAAAAGCCTAATTCTTTTAACAAAAATAAGCTTTTAGTGATTTATTATCGAAACAAATTTTGGATAAATTTAGGATTTTTCTTTTGGAAAATTGCTTCATCGTCAAGCACTCAATATATCATCATAATGGCCATTGGCGGAGCTTTTACTGTTTATTTTTAATTAAAATAAATAAATTAAAAAGATGTAAACGACAAATAAACCTATGGCTCATAAATTTTTACCATTTTTGACGGTGCACTCTTTTTTCCGCCGCATAATGAACAGAATAAAAGAAAGGTTAAGATTTTATCAAGATATTATCACAACTCAAATTCTCGAAATGCAGTGCTCACTTTTAAATATTTTTAGCATTAAAAATTTCAAAATTTTTTTATTATGATCTTAGTTTCGCTATGAGATTCTTAATAATCATTCCAAAAGACAAAAAAAATGGTCCCAGAATAGATTTGTCTTGAAGGGAAATCCGAACCGGAAGAAATAACAGAGGTAAAGCGAACCTTCCCCCACCTTGACGCAGTCACGCAGACAAGCCACAACGCGTCTTCAATTGATTTTATGAAATATTTTTACTATTATTTACGAAATATCTTTTCTCAAAAATCCTTCTTTCCTTTCCTCTACCCTTCAACTGATTTTAAGACCTAGAATCATTGCAGTTCCTGCCTCCCGCCATGAAACAATCGCTTCAAAATTAACTATTTAAGTATGATTAGAGAATATAATATTAGCTCATTTAGATCTACTTTTATAAGTATTTATAAGTACGTTTTATATAAGTGAGATAAAATTTTTTTCAAATATTTATATTATATTTTATAAATTACGATTGACAAAATGTTTATATACATATCTACTTTGCGCGTTGAAGCAAGAGTTCCGTAGGTTTATGGGTCCAACGCGAAGTGAAAAGGACACCATCTAATTATTCTACTCCTCCGATCCTTAATATAAGATTCATTTAACTAATTTAATTAGATTAAGGAAGTTAGGTAGGTTAGTTAATTATAAAAAAATTGACATATTTTTCCTAAAATACCATAATCATCTTTTTTAATACTACCTCTCCCTTTTCTATTTGATTATGGTTGAGGGAGTATCTATAGGGGTAATTTAGAGAAAATTGATAAATATGAGAAATGGGTCTTATATTTAAGACCAAAACCAACTCAAGAATTAGGTCCTATATTAAGGACCGGAGGAGTATTTTTTTTGGCGTAACTAATGCCTGCCCGGATACTTATCAAAACAATAAGTATTCCAAGTTTATCATATTTAGACTATTTAAATCTAATTTGAATGGTGCAAATTTAATTGATTTTTTTAAAATAATTATTTTAATGAGTATAAATTTTAAACTAAATATAATATTTTAACTATATTTTTGGAAAAATAATTTTTATTTAAAAACAAAAATAAAAAATAAATTAAATGCATACAATTCAAATTAGATTTAAATATTTCAGATACAATGAGTCCGTGCTCATGACTCTGGACCACTGAAACTGGTTCCTACCTCTTCGTTTTCTTCCACATTCGCTTTAGTGATTGTCCACTCTCCTCACAGAGCTTCTCTAATCAGAATATCATCCCTCGTCTTTCAAGGAAGAAGCTTTGAAGCCCTCCAAGATGGTGATCGCATCCACAGTCAGGGAGCCAGAAACCAGAGAGCACGTGAACTGCACTTTTGCCTCCAGATATGTGCGCGACCCAATTCCCAAGTATGCCTTTTTTCTTTTCTCAATCCTTTTGCTTCCTCTGAACTTTCAAGAACAAGAACAAAAAAAATTTTTTTGTCTTCTTTTAAAATGAAATGGTTGTGTCGTATAATTGAAGGTTTAAGATGCCGGAGAAGTCGATACCGAAGGATGCAGCCTATCAGATTATAACGGACGAGTTGATGCTGGACGGAGCACCCAGGCTCAACTTGGCTTCTTTTGTCACCACTTGGATGGAGCCTGAGGTCGACAAGCTAATCATGTCCTCCCTTAACAAGAACTACGTTGACATGGATGAGTACCCTGTTACCACTGAGCTCCAGGTATGTCTGGGGCTTCAAATTTTGAATCTTTGAATATCTGTTTCATGACAGTAAAAGTTGCTTAAAGATAATCTTTTTTGAGGACCAGAAACACCTAGAATTACTTGGTTTCGTTCTCTGATTCTAGTATACTGTGTTTATTGATGATTTACTAGATCTTTTGTTGAGTTTTATGGTCAGATCTTGGAGTACAAAAGACTGAGTATTGTCATTTGATAAATTCTGCAGAATCGATGTGTGAATATGATAGCTCATCTATTCAATGCTCCTATTGAAGAAAATGAGGCTGCAGTGGGTGTGGGAACTGTGGGTTCATCAGAAGCAATCATGCTGGCTGGTCTTGCCTTTAAAAGAAAATGGCAGATAAAGAGAAAATCAGAAGGCAAACCATGTGATAAACCCAACATAGTTACTGGAGCAAATGTTCAGGTGGGCCTCAAATCACATCTTCTTTAATACTATCTTCATCTCTGTCCTTCTCCTCCCAGTGCTTTGGAGTGATTGATTGAAACATAAATGCCATACAAACAGGTTTGTTGGGAAAAATTTGCAAGGTACTTTGAGGTGGAGCTGAAGGAGGTGAAGCTAAGTGAGGGATGTTATGTGATGGACCCAAAGAAAGCAGTGGAATTAGTGGATGAGAACACTATTTGTGTTGCAGCAATATTGGGTTCAACTCTGACAGGAGAGTTTGAGGATGTAAAGCTGTTAAATGAGCTTCTTACAGAGAAGAACAAGGAGACAGGATGGGACACTCCAATTCATGTGGATGCTGCAAGTGGAGGCTTTATTGCTCCATTCTTGTTCCCTGATCTTAAGTGGGATTTTCGTTTGCCGTTGGTTAAGAGTATTAACGTTAGTGGTCATAAGTATGGTCTTGTGTATCCTGGTGTTGGTTGGGTTGTCTGGAGGAATAAGGATGACTTGCCTGATGATCTAGTCTTCCATATCAACTATCTTGGCTCTGATCAGCCCACTTTCACCCTCAACTTCTCCAAAGGTACTGTTTCTGTTCATCCATTCAATCCAGTGTCGCCGATTATAGCAGTGAGAGAGAGTCAGTAATGAAGGAAAGTTTATATAACTTCTAATATAGCGAGCTTTCTGAATCAAAGTCAGTGTCTGTTATGTCATTTAAGAAGAATTCCCTGAATCATCTGTAACAAATACTGGTGGGCAATCAACTTTAGTAAACTGAGTCTTCACAAATGCCTTACATGGATTCAGTTGAGGAAGTGATTTTGTTTATTCAAAAAGAGAGTGCATATGATATAATCAGATAAAAGAGGGCAAGCGATTATATATATATATATATATATATATAATTAGTCTGCCAACAAGTTGTTGGTTAAGATGGTAAGCGGCTTCACTCTTATAAGGAGGAGAGCACAAGTTTGAATTCTGGAAAGCGCACTTGTTGGGAGAGGCAAAAACCCTTTGATCCCCTTTGGTACGGATTATTGAAAATGAGGGCTAGGAACTGGGATTGCAATTGAGAAAAATCATTAAAAAAGTATTTAGCTTGAATAATTGCTTGTGACATGGGATTAAGCAAACCTACGGAGGTGGGATTAGGGAGTACCCTCTCCCCTTATGGTATTCTCTAATCCCACATATATGGGTTTATCCAATCGCATGTAACAAGCATTCTCTCATGGTAAATATTGTTTTCATAGATTTTCTCAATCTCAATTTTAATTTTGCGTTCTAAGCCTAAAAAAGGGAAACCTTTGATCAAATGAAGAAAAATATAGTCAGTTTTTCTTCAAATATATGACTATAATTTTATTTAAGATTCACTATTTCCAAATTTGTTTGCTTTTTGGCAGGCTCTAGTCAAATAATTGCTCAATATTATCAGTTCATTCGTCTTGGCTTGGAGGTAATAAGCTCTTCTTGCCCTGTCAAACAGTATCTGAAATTGAAGTCTGCATGATAGTAATACTAGAGATAATCCTAACTTGATCCATATACATACATGCATGCATGCATACATCTGTACTTAAAAGGTTTCTGATGTGAGTTTGATTACTGCAATACAAAAAAGGGTTACAAAAACATCATGGAGAACTGCATGGAGAGTGCGAGAGTACTGAAGGAAGGAATAGAGAGAACAGGTAGGTTCAACATTCTGTCCAAGGACATGGGAGTGCCAGTGGTAGCCATATCTCTGAAAGACAGCAGCCAGCACACAGTTTTTGAGATATCAGACCATCTCCGGCGGTACGGGTGGATTGTTCCGGCCTATTCAATGCCGCCAGACGTGCAGCACGTGGCGGTGCTGCGGGTGGTCATCCGGGAGGACTTCAGCCGGGGCCTGGCAGAGAGACTTGTGTCTGACATTGATAAGGTTCTAAAGCTCTTGGACACACTCCCTAGTCCTTTGTCCCTTAAAGCCGCTCATGTCAGTACCGTAGCTAATGAGACTGGTCATCACAAGAAGAGTGGAATGGAGATTCAAGCAGAGGTTGTGGCATCGTGGAAGAGACTTGTGGAAGGCAAAAGAACTGGGGCCTGCTAGGCTTCTCAATCTTCTTGCCTTTTTCTGCTGATTTGCTATCTAAGAATAAGTGTGTTTGTTGATTGTATTGTATTATGTGTGTTATGTTTTTGTAAGAGAGGCTGTTGTCACAGCATTATCTTTCTTTCTTTGGTTTTTTTTTTTTTTTTAAGAGTGATCTGAGATGTATTTTGCAGTAGTTGAGCTTGGATTGTGTATTTCCTTGTATGTGTATTTGTTTGAAAGATCTATTTATCTACATATTTGATAAAATTTTAGCAACTGGTGCTATTTATACGTTGATAACTGAATGTGATCCTTGTCATATTTTTTTTCCCTTCTTGCACATTTTGATTCATTCATTTGATGGTTAATTTGATTTTAGTGACTATGTATTTATTATTGTTACTTATATCCTCTTAAAATTAAAATAGGATTATAATGTTTCTTTACGGTGGTAATTAAATGAATAATAATTTAATATAATGTCGCCATTAACTATTTTTTACCGTTAAATCAAATGAATACTTGAGTAAATTAAAAAAATTGCTTATGGTTAAAGGCATTGAGAGAAATGGAGAGACAAAATCATATCATACACATTAAATTGTGAATGATCAACAGAGTTCAATCTATTATCAACATTATTTTTTTTTAAAAATAAGAACCGTGAAAATGAGTAGTTTTATAAATTATGAAAATGTTGTTAGTCTATATATTTTTTTCCCTTCGTATATATAAATAAAAGGTCTTTTTATTTTTACCTTTTCCTAGCTATATTCAGTTTTGATTAAATTAATGACATTTTTCTTTTGATAAAAGGTTTTCTTTTTGTTTAATGAATGAATCATCTTTTTATTTTTATTTTTATTTTGAATTCTTGAGTTATTCAGTGTAAGTCTAGTTTTTAACCTACTCATTCACGTTTAATTATAGATATAATGGTATTAGAATAAATTTAGTTATTAGTGGTATTAGAATAAACTTACTCTGATACCATTAGTAGAATGATTATAGATAACAAGTTGAAAGAAAGGAAAAAAAAATGACGAGAATTAAAAGAAACTGAAACTATATTTAATAATTTAAGAGTTTAAAACATATCAACATAAAAGTATTCATTATCCTTATTTTTAATTTATGATAAATCAAAATAATACTCATAAAGTATTCAATTTAAATCCTTGAATATCTTGTCAAAATCCAATCTTAATATCTATAATATTCAATCTAATCCTGATGAGATATTCAAGCTAATATTTTTTAATTATGATAAAATAATTTACCTATCCTAAAAACTTATTTAAAAATTACATATTAATATATTTAATTATAGAGCAAGTGAATCTAGATGAAATTTTAGGGCTGCTCATATTATATCTTGATAAAACTTTAGGTGCTATATGATATATGTCTCAATCAATAAGTCTAAAAAACTAATTATTCGAACTACGTTTGCATTGTTTTCACAACACATGCATACGCATAAGCATGCATAAAACGGAGTTTGGGATGCAAATTCTGCCTTATTTATCATAATTATCTTATTTTTGTGTTACTTGTTAGATATCATATGTGATTTTACTAAATTGTTTTTATAATATTTCTAAAATTAATACGTAATTAATATATTAATTATTAATCATGAATATATAATATAAAACTTATAAGATTACTGATGCAATTTTCTTATTAGTTTATAAAAACTTCATTAAATCTATTTTTTTTCATAGGTGATTGGTTTACTTATTGTTATTGTTATTATTATTTTTGGTTCATATTAGTTTTATTATTATAAAGGATAAAGGTGCCATTTTAACCCTAACTTTGTTTTTTATGTGCAATTTTATCTCCAATTTTTTTGTGGTGTAAATTTATTCCTGACTTTTTTTTAGTAATAAAATTGTAAAAAAATAAGCAGTAAAATTACACTGAGAAATAAAATTAGTGTTAAAATAGTCTATGTATGGATAATGACTAACAAGACATTAGAGAAGCGCAGGGCGGCGGGGGCTCTCCTCTCATGGCTCGACTTCCGGCCCAATTTCAGGGTCCGTTAAAGATTTTCGGGTCCCGATCCATGACCCGGATTTGATGCTTTAACATTTCCATTCCCTGGCTTCTTCACCAAAACGAGGCGCAGCAAGGGGCAGATGCGTCTTGATTATTTGAAGCTGCAGCGTCCATTAGCATTTAACAGCGAGTTACCATCTTCCTGTGCTACCGATAATTGCTCATTTTTCTGGTTCCTGATTTTCCTGAGTTTTTTATTCTTCTCCTAAAGTCAGTGCCTTTAATTTCATCTGGCAAGAAGATGGGAAGATTTGATAGGTACATATCTTCTCTAAACTTCCGTTTCTTCTCATCGGTTGCTTTCGATTTTACCTTCAGAAGTAAAGGTCCACTCTACAGTGTAACTTTGCTCCCATCACCAAGCAGTTACTTCTCTAAGTTCTCTACTTATCGCCGAAAACCAATACAACTGGCTTCCTGTTCTTGTATGCGCTTGATTCAATCTTCATTGCCCATGAATTTATTTGTTATATATGGTGTTTCGATACGCTTGTATTGTTCAGAAACAGTTCCTGTGGATCAAAGTTTTGATTCCAGTGCTAGTTATGTTGAGGACCACCGCTTAGAAACTGATATAGAGAAGATATGCGGCACAATAATGGATAAATCCATTGGACATACCAATATGGAGAAAGCTCTTGAGCAACTTGGAATACCATTGTCAACCCCTTTGGTTACTGGGGTCCTGGCTAGGCTTCGTTATGAGGAAAAGATAGCGTTTAGATTTTTTACATGGGCTGGCCATCAAGAGAATTATTCCCATGAGTTTTGTGCTTATAATGACATGATAGATATACTATCAAGTACAAGATACAAAGTAAAACAGTTTCGAATAGTTTGTGATATGTTGGACTATATGAAGAGGCATAATAAGAACACAATTCCGGTTGAAGTTCTTTTGACTATTTTGAGAAAATACACTGAAAAATATCTAACTCATGTGCAGAAGTTTGCCAAGAAGAAGAGGATCAGAGTAAAAACTCAACCCGAAATAAATGCATTTAACCTGCTATTGGATGCTCTTTGCAAGTGTAGCCTGGTTGAGGAAGCTGAAGGTCTCTTTAAGAGAGTGCAAAACAAAATTAAGCCCAATGCAGATACATATAACATATTGTTTTTTGGGTGGTGCAGAGTTAGAAACCCTACCAGAGGAATGAAAGTGCTGGAAGATATGATCCAATTTGGTCATCCACCTGACAATTTTACATACAATACTGCCATTGATACCTTCTGCAAAGCAGGCATGCTAAAAGAGGCATTAGAACTTTTTGACTTCATGAGAAATAAAGGTTCCACCATATCTTCTCCCACTGCCAAGACGTATGCAATCATTATTGTTGCCCTTGTCCAAAATGATAGAATGGAGGATTGCTTTAAAATTCTGGAGTATATGATTAGTAGTGGTTGCCTCCCTGATGTCTCAACATACAAGGATATAATTGAAGGAATGTGTTTGTTTGGCAAGATAGATTCAGCTTACAAATTTTTGGAGGAGATGGGAAACAAAGGTTATCCACCTGATATAGTAACTTATAATTGTTTTCTCAAGGTCCTTTGTGACAATAAGAAGTCTGATGAAGCACTTAGACTTTATGGAAACATGATTGATTGGGATTGTGTTCCCAGTGTCCAGACTTATAATATGCTGATTTTAATGTTTTTTAAGATGGGTGATCCAGATGGGGCATTTGAGACTTGGCATGAAATGGCCAAGAGGGGTTGTGCACGAGATACAGACTCATACTGTGTGATGATTGATGGGTTATTTAGGAGCAATAAGGAGGAAGATGCTTGTTTTCTTTTGGAAGAAGTAATAAACAAGGGAATCAAATTGCCATTTAGAAAGTTTGACAGTATTTTGATGCATCTTTCTGAAATTGGTAATCTCCAGTCTATACACAGGCTCTCAGATCATATGAGAAAATTCTACAATCCTGCTATGGCAAGACGTTATGCACTTGGCGAGAAACGCAAGAGTACAAGTTTGAGAGGGAAATAATAGCGTGAAATTCCTTCTTGAGTTTATGCCACTTGTCAGGATAACTTGAATGGAAAGGACCAAGGAGGTTTCTCCTTGTGATAGGTGAGAAAAATACATCTGCTAAAAGCATGGCATTTATGTTAGTTCCAGACACTGCCTCAGAGTATGTGCTCGTCCTAGTATTAACTGGACACCATGCCAGTCAGCTGCTTCTTTGGAAGTGCTCTGTTTGCCACAATATCTTGGCAAATCATTTTTTCATTGCATGTATTTATTTTCATTTTTAGTGTGCCCCAAAAATTTTTGGAGCTGCTTTGGCATACTATCATTATGAAATCCTGGTTTAGGAGGTGGTGCGACTGAGAGGTGTAAAGAGTTGAGTTATTTATGGCTTCGTATTAGCAGAGAACCGGTTGGGCAACTTTTACATGCAGATATGGGAGAAGGCTTATGATCCCATCAACATTTCGGACAATAGTAAACTTAGTTCTCTGGTCAAGAAACTACTTGCTACTGAATATTGCAAATAATGCCAGTTTATGTTCAAAGCATACACATGCTTCAATTCAACAATGAGTGGCCTTAACGAATATATTCCAAGCTCACTTTTCCCTTGTACATGTTTGATCCCATTGTATTTTCTGATTTGCTCCCGTTGTCATTATCCTTATCCTTCATTTAAGTGACGTATTTTGTTGCGCATCAAACGGCCCAAAGTGCAATTTGTGAGGCAAGTGCCTCAAAATGAGACGATTTTCTGTCAATTTTAGCATGGGTTTAAAAGGCGTGCCAAAAAGTTGCGCTCATGTTGAACATTTGATGACTGACAGAGCATTTCAACATTATTGATTCTTACTAACAGATACTAAGTCTAGTGAAAAAGATTAATCTTTTACGATATACTACCTTCAGTCCTAGATATAAAAGCTAATTGACTAATTTGAAAAGATTAAGAAAATAAGTTAAGTTAGTTGTAATAAATAGATGTTGTCTTTTTTAAAATACCCTTACTAATTAAATATATTGGTTAGAATTATTATTATTAGAAGGATTATTTTATATATATAAATATAAGAAACAAAATGGATTAGAGTCTTATATTTGTAACTAAAATAAAAGTCAAATAAGGTTTAATATTAAAAACCGGAGGTAATAACAAACTAAGATTTGAATCTCTATCAGGAAAAAAAAACCCCGAATTTAGGGCTTGAACAGTATTTCAAATAAAATTGACTTCTAGTAATACCCTCATAACATAACAGGTAGTGGCCAAAACTAGTTTTAATTTTAGTGTCCGTGTTGGACATCTTTCAACAAAAGGCTTATGTTGGAATTCAGGAAGTGTAACTACATGCTTCCGTAAAAATAATGTTAAATTGCCGACAAGCTAAAGAATTGACCATATTTTCATTAGATGGGTATCAAGTTTCAGTTTAGTAGTAAATATCATTCTTGGCTATATTGACCACTTTTGCTAAGCTGAAAGAGAACCTGAATATTGCAAATGGACCACAAAGCTTGAAATCACTATACTCGGATATGACACGTGCAAATTGACCAGTGTATCAGGGGAAAAAAACATGATCAAGAAACTGTTGTACACTAGGAGTTGAGCCTTTCTTCTATGGCGAGAGGCAACAACTGTAAGAAATAATGAAAGAGAAAGTAGAATGCAGTAAATTAAGTGCAATAGTTGAGACAAAGAATGAAATACATCAATGTATATTACTGCTGGGTATCTGAACCAATTTTTCCTACCTTAGCGATCGAGGCATCGACTCCAATACAGGTAAAAATACACCTTTAAACAATACTGCTTCCTATCATTAATACTACCTTCTACCTTCGGTCCTAATTATAAGAACTAGTTGACTAATTTGAGGAGATTAAGGAAATAAATTAAGTTAGTTATTTGTAATAAATAAGTATTGTCTTTCCTAAAATATTCTTACTAATCAAGTGTATTGGTTCAAACTATTATTATTATAAGGACCATCTTGAAAAAAAATGGATCAATACGAAAGAAAAAGTGAATTTGGATCTTATATTTAAAACCAAAATAAAAGCCAAACAAGATCTTATATTATAGACCGGAGGCAGTATAAGAGTTAGATAATTGATTTAAAGATATTAAAAAAATTAATTAAGATATTTGTCATAAATATGTGTTGAGTACTCTAAACTATGCTTTTTAATTATGTATATTGGTTAATTAGAATTATCTCTTGGTAAAAATTTGTTATAATCAATAGAAATATTTTGAGAAAAATAAGAAACAAAGCGAATTGATGTATTATATTTGGACCAAATTTAGCTCCTAATTAATTATTATATTAAGGACCAGAGATAGTGTCATGGCCAGCACAAATCTGAACCTTCAGGTCTCATGAGGTGTGTCACATGGATATTCTAAAAGGAACAAAAAAAAAACACGATTAGTGCTGCAAGCTCTTAATTCTAGCCAAAAATCATGATACTATTATGAAATTTCATAATTTTAAGATTATTAACTGTAATTAATATAAATTTGTTGAAGAGTTATACAATATCATATAAAAACAAATAACGCAGCAATCCAATGGTAAGGCCAACAATGTCCTTAACTGTAATTGATGTTCTGTGTGAATGAAAGTTTCACAGTGAAAATGAATTAACTAGGTGATTCTATAAAAGTAAATAGAATCATAAATCATTAACTTAATTAAAATCTAAATTCCTACATGACATCAAGTTTGAGTTTAGTGGAAGTCTAATACTACTTCCGGTCTTTAATATAAGACCTTATTTGACTTTTATTTTGATCATAAATATAAAGTTCCAATCCACTTTTTCTTTCATATTTATCTATTTTTTTCCAAGATAGTCCTTCTATAATGATAGTTATAGTTAATATATTTGATTAGCAAGGATATTTTAGAAAAGATAACACCTATTTATTATAAATAACTAACTTAACTTATTTCCTTAATCTCTTCAAATTAGTCAACTAATTCTTATATTTAGGACTGGAAGTAGTAATCTCCTTGGTTTTTCAATAGCTAGGTCTGCAACGGCACACGGCAGAGCAAGAGTAGTTAGGTCAGTAGAATCTTGTGGCTATGAGCTAAGCTCTTCTCAAGACCATTATTGTTCTTCATGTATATGACACAAGTTTATCGCAATTTGCAAGGGGTTAAATTGGCTAGGAAATGGGAATGGCATATCAAAACAAACTGGGCAAATACGTTAGCAGTTACAAAGAAATGGAACAGCACATGAAATTGACAGGAATGGTATCATGACATCGAGCATGTAAAATTCTGGAAATACAACAGACACACACTTAAATATTCTCTTGTTAATAATTGACTAGCTACTTAATTTCGACGTTAAGAAATATACTAGACTGGGGGAATCATATCAAAACATAAAAAGGTCGGTTGGCTGGTTCAAGTCTAAAAGCTACATGCCAGACCATCAAGACCTAGTTGCATAGATCCAAAAATGTATTAAAAAAATATGAGAGGAAAATCTTAACTGCTACCGTTAGAAACAACACGAGCAATCAAATGGACAGAGTGGCGTACTTCCAGCATCTGCTCTGTTAACACCCAACTCCTCTTCAGTGTAGATGGCAAGTCCATCCTCATTTGTCTTTCTAGGTCGAGAAGGTTGGTATGCAATATCTCCAACACCTGGGGACCCTTTGCTTTTCTTCTTCATATTCTTCTTTGATTTCTTGGGTTTCTTAGTTACATCTTCGGATTTTTCTGCTTCAGATTTCTTCCGTTTTTGCCTGCAAATATCTCGTCAATCTCACTACCTTGTTTTTTATGCGCGGAAGATGGATTTTGCTCTTCCACAGTAGTAATCTCTTGTGCTTGACTTGGGGTCTTTTTAGAACTCTTCTTTGTCATTGGCGGGGAGAAAAACTGCATATTATGCATAGTAAACTAGTGAGAACTTCCCCAGGTATCACAGATGTAAAAAATAAATGACCTACAACACTTGAGAGTATTCTACAATCTACACTGATAAGTCAAGAGCCTTTAAAATCCTGATTTAGAAACCTTGTGACATTCACACTCACCTTACAGTGGCGGCCCTTCTCTTCTCCTATTTGTACTAAAATGAGTTTGCACGTTAACAAGAAGATCGAACTCTTCGTTATAAGAACAACTCAGGTTAAAGATGGTGATTTGAGGAGTTTCATTTCGTTTCGTTTCGTTTTGTTTTGTTTTTGGTTAGGATTTGTGCGGCAGAAAAAGAAATAAAAAACTTCCATCAGTATTTATTAGTAACATGATGTTAGTTCCTTGCAGGTTAGAAGTACCATTAGTCCTCTGCCTGTTCCCATATATTCTACCGATTTGAATATCTGGGTTTGGGAAATAAATGTAATCTTTATTAGTTTAGCATAATTCCCCCCCCCCCCCAAAAAAAAATGAAGTATCTGTTTGAAAGGAAAGATAAAAAATCATGATGTTTTTCTTGCTTTGAAGCTGTTTTTTTTTTTGTGGTTTTTTTTTTTGGGGGGGGGGGACCTAGCTTGTGTCATTGATTTATGGATTACTGGGTCCTGTTGTGACTATGAAACTATTTGAAAGGTTTGCTTGTATTGTTATGCTTATATTAGGAGTGATTATAACAGAACTAACAGAACAGCATACACATAGCCCTTCGAAAATCTTTCCCTTCAGTGGTACATCTATACATTCCATGCCTGGATCATACTCCCATAATCCTCAAGATTATTACGTTATACAAAGATAGACATAACTCTTGGGTTAATATTTTCAGAAGTTGATGGGTTCCTCCGGTGTGGGAAATAGGTGCAAGGTGCCTCTGAAATTGCAACTAGCAAGAATGAACTTATGGTCAACAATCAGAGTTGGCAAGGATCAAAGATGAACTTAGGCCGTCACATCAGAATTTTCAAACATCAAAGCCAAATTTATGGCTATCAGATTTTATTTTTCAAGACTTAGATATATTGTTGGGATTTAAAGCAACAGTAGTTGCAATGAAGATGTTGGCTTTAGGAATAGTCATGCTTGTGATATACTTATGTGTGATGTGAGGACTGAATTTTGGTGGCTTAGATTTTGTGTCAAAGCAACATAACAGATGCCCCATTTCTTTTGCTATCTTTCTGTTTTCGGTGACAATAGGCGGGAGGGAGATGCTATTATGCACTTGTAAGAAGCTTGGTAATGTTAACCTGCTAACTGCATCATCAGCTTTGCAAACAGCCGTTCACTATTTTGTTACATTTAGCTTGATATTTGATATGACAATCTCAATTGTTTCTTGAGTAGTAGCAAACAGATGACTAATGACAATGGAAAAATAAATATTAGAATGAGGAACACAACACAGATTTAATATTTAGACTACACAAAAAAATACACATTAAAATCAGATTTTATCTCATTCATTCTGAATCAGCATTGTGGATGAAATTGAATCAAAGCTTGATGCTTCAAACATAATGCAAACCTACAAGGATACATATCCAGTCTAGGTCTTACTATTCGATGTTTTCTTTGCATTACATTGTACGTGAAATGACATAATAAAATGAAGACTATGTTTTCTTTGCATTACATTGTACGTAAAAGACCATACAGCAACGTATTTAAAATGCTGCTTCCCACATCGGTTTGAGGTTATTAGCAATTCCAAGCGGAGGGAAACTTAACCAAGATTACATCAGGCAAACGATACTGAAAACAAGAGGGGGCAAAAAAGACAAGGAGATCTCGAACAAATCTTTAACAAAACACTTACCTTCCGTCGACACGGAGTCCTTGTGGTGCGAGTGAGTTTCGTCGGTCACCGCTGCCGCCAGTAACAGCTCCTCCGTTGCACGTCTTCCCGGCGAGCTATTCCTTCTGGCGGCAAATCGGTCCGAATGGCTTTGATTGGGTTTAGGTTTATGTGGATATTGAAAAAATAAATAAATTTTTTTTTATATTCATAAGATCTATTTATATTTGAATAAAAAATGATTTTTAGTACTCCTCCTGTCTTTATTATAAGACCTAATTTGACTTTTTATTTGGTCCTAATTATAAGACCCAATCCATTTTCTCTCTTATATTTATGCATTTTTTCAAGATAATCCTTCTAATAATGATAGTTTTAGCCAATATACTTAATTAGCAAATATTTTAGGAATAACAACACTTATTTATTATAAATAACAACTTAACTTACTTCCTTAATCTCCTTAAATAAGTCAATTGAGTCTTATAATTAGGACTGGAGGAGTACATTGCAATTGTTGGCGACTTGGGATTCGCATCCCCCACCAAAACCCGGACAGCGCCGGCCACCGTCTGCTGCCGGATGTGACTTATCTAACGATAGCGCACCGGATGTTGCAGTTGCATGAGGGACGCTCTTCTAGAGATCATTTCATTTGATTCTGGTTCTGAAACACGAAGCTATCAATCTCCTTCCAATCAGCTACTTCCCAACTGATCTTCTTGTTCTCTGATTCTCCTCAGACTAAATACGGGTGCTGCATTGAAATCAGCTATAATTCTTATTTTGCAGGAGTACCGTTTACTCTATATGCATGACCAATGTATTCTAAGCACTTCAAAATCGACTTGACACAATCAAAAAGTAAGATCCTCAAGTAGGTTTTCGTCCTTGACTTTTCGTTTGCATGATTTTCTTTTGGCATTGAAGAATGTGGGAAAATTTCCAATTTATGAGAATAATTGAACTGACTCAATTTTGGAACCGCTGACTTGATTTCTATATGTGAATACAAGGCAGAAGAAGTGAATCATAACCCAGAGGATATTGAAAGGGAAGAAGTCAACAAACGAATGCAACAAATTTAATAATATTAAACGATTGGTTTGTGGGTCCTTTGGATGTTAGTTTTTTTCTTACAGAAGGTAGGCTAAATGGTTGAAGGTATATTTCTTACAGGAGTAATCATAGTAAACATTCAAAATTTGCTGTGCAACCGGATTATGAGGATGTTGGTGGGACCCGTGAGAGTTGTCTTCTACTCTGTAGTTTGTATCTTAAAGCCAAATTACTCGTAATCTTTATATCAGGGTTGTGCGTCTCTAGTTAACTTATTTATTGTTTCTTTTTTTGATGTTTGAGTTTAGGACTTTTGGTGCATTTTTTTTATTCTTTTTCTTTTTTTTTCTGTTAGAAATTTCAGAAAGTGGCATCTTACCTATTCATGAGACAAGCGCAAGCAGCTTTGGAAGCTGAGGTACCAGTGATGCAACATCTGGTGATGGGCTTTTAATCTGTGAGTCAGATACTTGTAAATAGACAACTTTGTCTGTAGTATGTAAATTCAATAGAGGTGCATATGTTCTTGCAGCAGCTATATGTGTAATCATATGCTATTCTGTGTTGGATTATACTCCTCTCTCCTTTTCAATATGAGGTTGGGCAAACTGGAGGAAGACGGGTCATGGGAGTAATGTCGCAGGTGGGGGATAAGTAATTTTTATTTGGAAGACCTCACTGCTTCTAGTTGAGACCATCCTTTCCAATCCTATTGTATATTTGTTTGGCCAAGGTTGCTTGCAAGGCTCCAACGTGTTTGCCTATCAGGATGTCTTACAATTGATCTTCTTTGGCTTATATTCCACTAATAATTTTTATATTTCTTTTGGGTGGCACATGTGGTTTGTTGGCATTTTACAATTACTTTGTGAACAGAACCAAATCATAGCGATAACATTTTCCACAAATGAAAAGTTACTGAATTACTGACTCTTAATTATTCTATTGTAGTTGTCATCGGCTGATTATACTTTCAGACTGCTGCCTCTTTACTTTTTTATAGCCAAAAAGTAAAACTTAGTATTAGTTCTTTGGTGGGTTGCCATAGTATATATGGTAAAGGATCCTTTTCATCATTTTAGGATAACAAAGCAAAAGTTAAATATTTTTAATGGGTGCAACAGACAAATTCATGTAGTTGCTGATACCAAGTAAGTCATAAAGTTGCATTATTTGGTTGAAGTGAAAGGTTCATGTAATGAATTTGGGCTTTTCTGGGGCCTGATTATGATATTGGGAAGTTGTTCCACAATAAGTGACTACTCATTTCATTGCCTGTCCTCTCTTTTGTATTTAGTATAATTGAAATTTGACTGATTCGTGAATCAGAATAGGTTATCCGGCTGGAAATAGTCGACTTGCGATATTCCTTCAATTGCACGCTAAGATTTAATAATTTCTTGTTTTGTGGGATACACGTGGCATATAATTTGGTTCGAATTCGTAACTTGGAAATTCATTATTAGAGGATGAAAGTGGAACAATTTAGTGGGCTGTATCTCTATTATATTGATGTAGTCAATAAGTGATGCTGAAGATTGTAGAATCTTTCTGTATGATTCTCTAAATGGGGTTGTTACAAAGAAATGAGCTTTTCCACAGTCCACTTTATATGTGACAAAAATGTTGCTATCATCCGAGCCATGAGATCATTGCATCACTGAACACTTAAGCCGAAAGATATGGTCTTAATGGAGTTTATGTTCTACATGCTATTGATAGGTTTCACTACTTGTACAAAGGAAAAAAGTTTTCTTCAACTACACGCTGTATACAATCGAGGGAGTGCCGCATATCTATGCAAGGATATCTTGCTGATAACTGTAGATGCTCATCCAATTGAGGTATTGCCTTCACATCACTTTTTGATGGATAGTACCAGTTATAAAATTCTGATGTTACCGTTTTTTCTCTTTTGGATTAAGTGCAAAAGACTAAAATAATCATCATAGGCATCAATGCAGAAGAGACAACAACGCACATGCTTTTGCAGCCAAAATAATCAACTTGTAGTTTCTAAGAGGAATTTTAAAGGTGCTATATTACATCAGGGTCAGTATTAGACCTACTGAATGCAACCCTGCTTAACAATGACCCCTACATTTTTGTCTTGTACCTAATGCCCATAAAGTTATAAAAGTGAGTTGCACTCCAAGTTGTGGATTTAATTGTGGATTGAGTATTGTGGATTTAATTTTTGATTGAGTATTCACATCCAAGACTGAATAATCTAAACTAGCATTTAATTCTAAATTAGTCTAGAATTAGATGGTGGGGAAAATGGTAGCCTTGACATTGCTGGATCGAAAAATAAAAATACTACTAGTAATAATAATAGGTAGAGATATTAGAAGTAGAAAATGGAGGCTTACTAGTGACTTAGGGAATGATAGGTAGGTGTACTCGTCTTGGCGGGAAGTCATGATCAAAAAGTAACCTCTTGGAATATTTCAAAGTTGGTTTTCGGCAGTTTTTACAGTTGAGAGGTGAATATAACTTCCAAAAACAGAAACACTTTTTCCTAATATAGGTGGCTGCATCAAATCAGAACATCTGAACTAAGCAGGGGAACCTGAGAGGAGAAGTCATATATTGTTGAAACATAAAATATAGTAGAATCTGAAAAACCAACAGCCATGATTTAAAACCAATTAGAATCTTCCTTTTTAATGCTTTCAAAGATTTCTGTAATTAAGATTTATTACGTAAATATTTTCTGTAATCAAAATTTCTTAAGTAAAAAGGAAGTTTTGGGATTCTCTTCTTGCTAGTCATGTCATCTATAAGCTTAATATGAGTTGCGAGTCTGTCAAACTTTTCTCTCCAACAAGAGCAATGTCGTCCAACGATCAACCTAATCTGGATTAGTCGAAAAATTGGATGAGAAATATAATGGGTAGAGCGCAGAATAATTGGCTGATAGATTGGCAATAACATTTCTGTTGAAGCTTCCTCGTTTAAGTAACGCAGTCTCCATTGACCAAGCTTTCCTGCTTGTTAATTGGTTGGAAGGAGAGGCTGCACATTTGGTTGTTATGTTTGTTGACGAGTTATCTTCCTGGTTAGGAGAGACCAACAGGACAAAAACTCCTATAATATTTTGCAAGCATATTCAAGTACAACGTGGGAAAAAAAAAGCGCATGCAAGTACAAGAAAATTGAAGTTCTGGTGCTACCAAAACTAATTCTAGGCAACAGTAAAATTGCTAATAACTATAAGAAAAGCAGGTAAATCAGATGAACAGTCAAGGTAGCACTCTGTATATGAAAGTTGAGACTTTTATATCTATCTCTGAGGGATGCTGATACTGGTCTTAGTAATTATTACATCAAAAGATGTATTAGGAAAAATTTAGTTATACCTTCCATTTTTAGGATTTGTCAGATTTCTTACGACCCCATAATAGCAGAGTACATATTTGCTAAATGCCTTGCCTCTCTGTTTCAGGTCGGATACTCTTGACTTCTTCTGCCCCTTTAATTCGTTGCAATCCAGGACCAATGCAGAGATTAAGATAATCCCCCCCCCCCCCCCGGGGGGTGTTTGTTAACAAATGAAGAAAACGGCTGCAGCGACAGTTACCAATCTTTAGACAGATGGTGGGTGAGAGATTTCCCTCACTTTTTAAACAAGCAATTTCTGCAATTAGGAGCAAGGGTAGGCCAACAGTCAATATAAAGACTATTTCACACATTAAATATAACGGAATATTTATTGTTTACTAACCCCGCAAGTCATTTTGGATCAGTTATGGCTATCAAAATATTTTATTATTTTATTATATATCATACCCAGGGAAAAAAAATTTACAATAAGCAATTGCATCTTTTACAAGTGATGCTTGTTGGTGTTACAAGTAATAAAACGTGTACTTTAACATTTTTTTCCCCTCATTTGGTGCAGGCATTGACGTCTTACATGTAAAGGCTGGCTTTAAAGAAAAGAGACTGGTTAAGTAGTAGTTTTTCAGAGAATCTTTAGCATGCTTCACCCAGGTAGTAAACCAATCAGGACTAACAAATTTTATTAGAAGCGAATTAATCAATGTAAATTAATATTATAGTCGCTCGCTTGTAGTAATCAGCGAAAAAGTAGTTATTAACACATTCTTTCTTGTGTAACATCATTATGTACTTTCTAACCGATTCTGAGCGACTAACATGCAAGTTTAAACTTCCATAATCAGGCAGGAGAACATCAATATTTGTTTTCCGGACAATAATATATAATAGGTTATGGGCTGAGAAAGTTTCAAACAATTATTAATCTATGCAAAAAGGATTAAACAAAAAACAATCAACTGCATTATATTCTCTTGCTGTGTAGATTGTGTCCGGATAAATTGACAATTAAAAGCTTCTTTTTTTTAATTATTATTTGCGTTATAGTTTTTAAAATAAAAAAGTATTAAAAAATGAAATGCAATTTAAACCTGATAAATTGGAGATGGATAATGTTTATATGTTGCATGGGTATGTCGTAGGCTATCTAGACTTTGGCTTAGGTAATATTATATTTAATTAAAAAAGTCATATTATGAGGGTGAATTTTTTTTTCCAAGAGAATTAGGTGAGTTGGATTTTGAGAGCTTAATAAATTAGAGCTTTTTTTTATATCAACAGCGGGATATGAACTTATAACTTTGCAAATTATGAGCTGATTTTTTACTAACTGAACTCACTTTTGTTGGCTTATTATAAGGGTGAGGTTGATTGATGGGATAAATTACAATTATCAATAGAATAAGCATTTTAAAAAATTTAACATGGATAAACAAAGCATACGGGCCAAATTATTAAGAAATAGTCTTTATTATAAGACCCAATTTGACTTTTTATTTGGTCTAATTATAAAAATCTCTTATATTTATGCATTTTTTTCCAAGATAATCCTTCTAATAATGATAGTTTTAGCCAATATACTTAATTAGCAAGAATATTTTAGGAATAACAACACTTATTTATTATAAATAACCAACTTAACTTACTTCCTTAATCTCCTCAATAAGTCAATTGGGTCTTATAATTAGGACCGGGGGAGTACAAGACAATGATATCCTTAAAAATTATATAATGATTGATTTTGTGGGGCTGTGAAATGCTTTTTTTTTTTTTAATATGCATGTGAAGTAAAATTACTATACGTCAAAGTAATTAACTTGAGCATTAATCATGCTCGATAGAGGGAACTTTAATATCCAACATGCTTAAAATTATTACTCGTTACAATTGAAAAATCATTTTCATAGTTTCGCGATTAGATGCTTGGTGCTGATTTTGGTGGACTAACAATAATACGATGATGCAAAAGTTTGCTTAAAACCGTGGTAGCCACGTCCTCCCTTCAAAACGACTCGTCGGAATATAAAGGGGAAAACTTAACGTTATGTCGTTTCAGGAGTCCGCAAAATTATTGTTCGAAAAATAATTAGATTTGGTGTTGCTCTTAACACGTAAGAAACAAGAAGAACAAGAAACACTAGTTTTGGGATAGCTTCTCAGGATCTCATCAGATATCAAACAGTCCAATTTTAAACATTTAACAGATCTGTATTATTTAAGAGTTGTACAACATATTCATTAATTCGATATCATACAATTAATGCACGATGGGATCTAATAATGTCTTATCCACATATTTACATCTACATATTATTAAAAACATGTTGCAAAAAAAAAAAAGCATACCATTTGTAAAAGAGTTAATCCATTAGGGGAAAATATGTTGTGCCTTTATTTGCGGCTGAACCATCTATCATAAAATTAATCTGTAGTGGATATTTTTCTTGATTTTTATTGTAAATTTTATTTTTTCTCGATGATCAACAAGTTATATTAAAATTAAATCATTAATGCACATATAAAATCAATAGAGGTTGAATCTAATGAAAAGAGTTCTATATGTCTCTTATCATAGTCAATAATGTTCAAATTCTCATGAAAAAATAAGTTTATATTTAGTGCTCGACAATACATTATATTAAACATGATTTCCTCTAATAAAGAAGACCTATGTGCTGAAAACAAATAATAAATGATCCAAAACTTGGAAGGTAGATATGAGATGAGCTGTCTTGAATATATTTGTTTTAAAGAAAATCATTATGACATTTCAAGAAATTAAAGAATACAATCACAAAATAAGTGACTAGTGTATAACGACAAGTTTTGATATTAAAAAAAAAAAAAGACAACAAGTTTATGCAGTTCATTTGTTTTTTTTTTTGTTATTGTACTTTTTTGGTATCTTATAGTAATTTTCTTTTTATTTTAACCCTTGATGTGTTATTTTTCAATGAAAATTATTTATTTCAACTCAGGTTGGTAATCTTACAAGGCCAATAATATCAATTCTTAATTTTTGAGATCTTTTAATTTCTTCGAACGATAATACACTATCTTGTAATTTGTTTTTGGGGTTTAAATAAATGCATGTTTTAACTTGTAATGTGATTTTTTCCCAATTAAGAACGGTTGAAAATTTGATGAGATGAGATTATATCTTTATCCTTGAAAGATCAAATTTCGTTACCATTTTTTATGAAGCCAAAATGAGATATGAGTATAATTGATACTAAGATTGGAAGGTGTGTAATGGTTGCAAGAGGAGAAATCTGCAATTGATAAAAGTAAGTGAACATTACACTGAATTGTACAAAGTTTGGAATTGATAAAGAAATTAATTTTTTAAAAAATACATATAACTTGACTGAAATTAGATTGCAGTAAGCAGATTGAAAATGATAAACAAAATACATAAAATATTGAATTAAGAAGAAAAGATATATAAAGCAAGTAAGTTGAAAAGTTGCTGTTTGTCTCTGTGAATGGCGCTCATGGTGGTTGTTATTATGTTGGATTCACGTCTTCTTATTAATTACATCCATCTTTTGTTACTTGAGTCATCAATCTTTACTTGATGATTACATATAAGAATTATTGGACTAATTATTCTTTATGGCTTAATTATCTCACCTTAACATTAATTTGACTAAGTCTCATTCCTCACAAATTAACATTTAGTCTTAGCTGGTAATTAATAAAGATCAACGTAAATCATAAGGTTAATTAGTTTAAGTGGTAAAAGTAGAATAAGTTGCATGTGAGAGTAAAGGGTTAAATTTTAAATACTTGTAATTAGAACATAAAAGGAAAAAATCGTGTAGGGTGTAAATTTAAATACACAAGTAAGCTCCTTGACTCCTTCTTCCAAATTAAAACAAGTAGTCTATACCCCTACTTTATCATCTTGCTAATCATATTGGTCATATTAAAATAATTGGATTGTGGTTTCTATTTTCTTTGGTTAGGTTATATATACATGTCATTCATTCAGATCAAGATTATCTTTCACATGAAAATAATTAGTTTTCTTTAAAAGATATCATTGTGTATAATACATAAGTTTTGACATATATGCTTATATGACCTCATCATATTTAATGTGAAACTAGATTACTTCATTATTATTTCAAACCAAGAATTTTTGTGTGCGCATTTGGATACCGGTCATGGACGTGAGCGTTGAATATTGACTCATTATTTGACACCTTTAAATTGCAAATCTCTAACTAACAACTTTAATTAATTAATTAAAACAAGTTTCACACTAATAACATAACATTTAATCCTTTCTAAATATCTAATTAATTGCCGTATTGAAAAGCAAATGAACCCATCTGTTTATATCTACCCACTCACGGGTCTCAACCACTTATATCAAGCCTAGGTGCATATATACATATCCCCATACATAACTTGATATACTTGAAATTAATTAGAAAAATCGTTAAAAAGAAGTCTTTATATGAGAAGCTTTTTTCTTAAAATGAGTTGAATTGCGCTGATGTAATTCATTTTCAGAAGGTGCAATATTTTTCTAATCCTATTTATAAGGTAGAGAAAGGATGTTTTATTTTTGTCCTATTTAAATCACTTGAAAGTTGTTAAATTTTAAAGCAGAATTAATGAGTTTTGAGAATTTTTTTGATTTGTGTGAAATACGTTAAAAGCGACTTATAAATAAAATAAAAGAATATATATCTAGATTTTTAGACAAGTTTAATATTTCAATGGAGGATTTTTCATAATATTTTTTTCCAAATTAACCTTCTTTTTGAATGAATGGATTTTTTTTTTGGTTGTGTCGATAGATGTTAGATGCATGGAATTAATGAATTAATTAATAAGAAGCATATCAATTATAAATGTTGATCCAAAAGTTGTAGATTAGTTTTGTCCATAATACAAAGAATTTGAGACATGACTAATGAACAATAATCTACATGGATTGCCCCGAAATGAAAAACGAAAAGAGAAAGAGGGGCATAATGGTAAGAAAAGAGGGAAAAGGGACAAAAATAATAATGTAGGAGTCAAAAAGGTGGTAGTTTGTAGTCTATCCACGTGCCGTTGTGAAGTTTGTAAGATAAAATGTAATGTTAGTTACGCCTGAAAGCTGATCGAAACCTAATTAAAACATCCTTCTCCCCTTCCAAATATATTGTCTAACAACATTACCAAACCCCACATATCTATCTATCTTTCATTATTATTATTATTATTATTATTTACATATTACCTAATAATAAATTAATTCCACGAGACTCGTGTTATTGATAGAGATCATATTTTAAAATTTAAATCCTTATCAACATCTATAAACATAAGTTAATTATTACTGTTGGTGCTTCTTGAAGTTACATGTATAATTTGGTCTTTGAGATATATAGATAATAAATTCAAAAATATATACATGTATACGCAGTATAATATAGAGAAGAAAAATTTATAGATTTACAGAGAAATAAGTGATGATTAAATTCAGAAAAATAATAATTGTGACTTGTTTCTGTACCAAAAAAATTGTAACTCGTTTTTATATTGTTTAATTAAAAGGAATTACATTTTGATTTTAAAACACTGAATTGCCAACAATATTTTAGTGTCGCTTTTTGTTTATCCATTTAAATTTATAACGCAACGCATGCAAATAAGCATAAATCAAATAAAGGTACTACATATGTTCAATTTTTTTTAATATTCTATTTACATATACACATATACATATCTATAATTTGTTAAAGCAACCGGTTGATCATATAGGTATATACATAAACGTGCAGCTTAATTAGCCACCAAATGACGTTACCCTAAGAGAAAGTTGGGACTTGAGCAAGATTT